TCTAAGGGTGATCCAGTCACTAAGCAAAGACTGTCTAGATGGATAGTGAATGCCATCTCTTTGGCCTACACCGCAGTGGGTCAGGTTTGCCCCATAGGTGTCAAGGCCCATTCGACCAGAGGTATGGCCTCGTCGTGGGCTTGGTCATCTGGTTTTCCCATTCAAGATATTTGTGATGCGGCCGGCTGGTCCTCGCCTTCCACATTTATGAAGTTCTATAATATGGAGGTACCTTCCCTGCAGGCGAAGGTGCTTTCGGTATGATTGAGACCTGACAGTGGCTGGTCTTATCTACAAAAATTACTGTGCATAATCACATACATATTTATATAAACCCGCTTCGGCCGGTAATAAGGTTATACTAATAATCCCGACGGTGTCTGGTTTTGTTAGTATATTCTGTTAGTTGTTACTGACTTATATATATATTATTCAGACCCGACTGTGTCTGGTCTGTTATATATACATGTATATGCATATGTTATTGGGTTCTGGCTTGTTCTGTTAGCTCAGGGGTCCTGAGTGGCAGGGCAACCAGTTACTCAGGGTGCGGCGTTTTGCATGGTGTCCCCACTGCGTATAGCTACGCAATACGAAGTGACCGTTCGAAAGGGAACTACTCGGTTACTATCGTAACCTCAGTTCCCTGAGATAGGGAACGAGTATTGCGTAGCCGGCCGCACTATGGTAACTAGTGAAGTTGTCGCTTCAGTCGTATAAACCTGCTATAATGGCGAATTCGGGGGTCTATATAGGCTGGGCCACGCCCCCTCGACGGGCTCTGACGTTGGGCTAGCTCATTGGTCGTGCGTCAGATTCGCCCGCGCCATTGGATGTGCAGTTGCTGCAGCACAGCCTATGAGCGGGTCAGATGCTCATGTTCTAGCTGTGCAGCTGCAAATGCGTTTTACATATAGGCTTCAGTAAATCGAGGAAAAGGAGTTTCCCCACTGCGTATAGCTACGCAATACTCGTTCCCTATCTCAGGGAACTGAGGTTATGATAGTAACCGAGTAGCTTTGTTGCCATTTGAAGACTTTTGTAACATAACATGTTACGAGTGGTTTCAGTTTAATATGTTGCAGGCTCATTTATTGCTAATAAATAATATTGATGATACTATAATATAATAATATTGCGCTTGGTTTTGAAGCTGCGGTTGCTTATTTGTCTCGCGAGACTGGGCAACACTGACTCACATGTGTGAAAACACCAGAAAGAGGTGTAAAAAAAAACCCTGAAGTTTAGGTGTAAAAAAAACCCCTGAAAATATCACCTTACGGCATGTGCCACGCAGGAAAGGTCTGCACTGAGGTGCTCATGAGGTGAGAAGTTGATCTGTCAGTCTATAGGCCGAGATTTTCCAGTGTTTGTTTAAATGTTGAAAAAGTGTGTGATATTGAGTCTGTTGTGTGTGTGACATTAGTTGTCTTAGTGTTGGGTGTTAAATGTGTTGTATTAATTATTTATCTAAAGTACTAATTAAGCTGGCTGTGTTGTGTGTGCAATTACGTGTGTTGAACAAATATCTTTGTGAATGCTAAAGGATTCTGTGGCATAAAAAAACTATTAAATACATTTTAAAATTAAAAACTAAGATAAGGGGGATGTAAAAGTGATTAGAAAAATCACCCCCAGAACAAAAAACATGATTTTACCAAACCATGTTGTTGGTCCAATTTTAAATTGTAGTAGCAATTTTTTTTGTCACTGTCCCAAAAGAAAAATGTATGAAAAACATAACACATTCAGCAAAATACAGAACACAGATAACAATTTGACATTTTATCACATCCCTTTGTTGACAGATCAATTCCAACACAGGCTATTTGGTGAAAATACCTTATTTTAAATAAGGAAAAATACTGAATACATTCAAGAAGTCTTCTGCATAACAGGATGTCTTGATGTGGTGAAGAAAAGCGACACTGCATAGGTTAAAAACCTACAAACAAAAATGAACATTAATGACAAAGTTCCCTGGCATTGATCTGGCAAATGACAGAGAAGAAGTTATATAACAAGGTATCGCAAGGATGATGTAACGCTTAGTTCAAGGAAGATGAAGAGGATGATGAAAAACTGAATGGATTATGATTCTGGATTACTCAATAAAAGCTGCGTTTGGATCTCCAACCTTTCAAGTCTCGGAGCAGTTTCATAACAGAGGTGATGAGACAATGACAAACAGCTGTGATGATTAGAGTTAGTGTCCATAGTAACTGATGAGTGGCGGGAAACTAGAACAAAGGAACACGTGACTAATGACAACAACTAGTGTCAATGACCAGAACTAAAAAGGAACATAGGAACAAGGAACTTGTGTCAGTCGATGATTTCGCATATTTGTTTCGTGGTATGTGCATGTATAGATGGATGTATACCGGCTGTCATCTGGCGGCACTGTGTTCGGCAGTCTTATGGTGCACGTGTCACACGGGTTGCAAGTGTTTTGGACATGTATGACATGAGGAAGGTGAGACTGTTGGCTACCATCAGATGGTTTTGTGGTGATGGCTGAATAAACGCGATTGTGAAGCCAATGAGTACATGAACTCACCATTCTACAGAATGCATTTGAGGCAACCATTTGTTAGTGAAAAAGTGGACCACTACTGGTCCTTAGACAGAAGATGGAAGGGGCTGACTTGTGGAATTGCACTCTGAGAAAAGACAGTAGGGTGGAAATTAATAATAGGGGGGATGATGAAATATTTTGTTCATCCTATAGGAAACAATTGTAGCAGAATTTGTATAGTAAGGGGATTTCCCTCAAACAGATGACTGTGTAAGACCAAAGTAGATATCAAACCATTATTAAGAGTGTAAAATTAAAAATGTCATTTTGAGGCTTCTTGCCTCTGGGAAAGAGTTGATTGTCCTTGGAAAATGTTACATCTTACCTCTGAGAAAGGGTTGACCTAAACAAGACAGATCCAGAGGGACAAGGAAGCCCGGCAGACGAACAAGGGAGATGGGAATGGGTCAACAAGACGAGGTGGCATCATGGGCTCTAAGGCCCAAGGTCGAGCCAATAAATCCGAGCACCTAGGAGGAGCTGAGGACTGGGAAGCCCAAGGTGGAGCCGGAGAGCCAGGTGGAACCAGCGGAAGGGGATGAGCCAAGGAGTGTAACCAGTGAGGGATTTTGGTGACATCTAGGGTCATGATGAGAAAACTTGGGCCAGCCTATATGGCTGGGATTAAAGAGCTTGAAGGCTGGACAGAAACACTGGGAGAGGAAGGATTTCGGACAGGACTGGGACATCAATCCAGTCAGATGGGGCCCGCAGAGGATGAAGTTCGAGGGTGGAAACTATGGTGGGAACTGGTTTAGCATGAAAGTCTATTAACAGCTCCTCACTTGCCCGTTTCAAAGGTCGGCATGGCAGCAGGCTAAACCTCCGTACATGGTAGAAGACTGTCTCTGAGATGGACATGGCAACAGGCTCTTGCTCCATACTGAATGTGGGCTCTGGGTCCATGGCTGGCATGGGCTCTGGCTCTTGGTCCAATGGCAGGCATGATGAGGAGAGGGGACAGACTAGGGAGAAGTTCTGAGCTGATGTTGTACTCGGGGATAAGGGCCGACGACACAAGAAGGATAGGAGTGGGCTGGGGGGACTAAGACCGAATGGCACCGTCGTCTTCATCCACCTCACTGACGGTGTAGGGAGGGCCATACAGCCACACAACATAATCCACATTCAGCAACAATAATCCATTTTTGATGATGAGCTGACCTTCAAAGACCACATTGCTACAACGGCACAATCCTGCAGATTTGCACTGCACAACATCAGGAAGATCAAGCCCCTCCAAGTCCTAACTGAAAATGCAAACCAACGTCTTGTCATTTCTAGTGTGGACTATTGCCTTCCCCTTCTGGCTGGACTTCCAACATGTGCAATCAAAATGATTCAGAACGTGGCTCTACTTGTCTTCAGCAAACCCAAAAGAGCCCATGTCACACCACTGTTTATCTCTCTGCACTGGCTTCCCGTTGCAGCTCACATAAAGTTTAAGACATAAGTCCTTGCCTACAGGATGGTCACGTGCTCTGTACCCTCCTACTTTCACTCTCTCTTATGACTTAACATGCCCTCCAGGAGCCTGCGGTAGGTAAGTGAGCGACGTCTTGTGGTTCCATCACAGAGGCACAAAATCGCTCTCAAGAATGTTTTTGTTTACTGTTCCTTGCTGGAATGATCTTCCCAACCCTATCCAGACAGCCGAATCCCCGACAATGACAAAAAGGAGCTGAAAACGCATTGCATCTATGCATCTATGAGCACTTAAAATGTTAAATATGTCATGTCACTTTGTCTATGCTCTCACTATTTCTTAATCATTCGCTCGTACTATGAGCGATGGCTAAAACTTTGTATTTTTTAATGTTGTCTAGGCCTTGATCAGGAATTCCCAATGCTGTTTGGTAAGGAAGAGGTGGTTACAAGGAATAGAAACATCTTTTTTTATTTTAATCCCTAAAAGAGAAAAGATTAAGTAATTGTAACAAAAACTTGTAAACCATTAAAAGATTATACTTTGTTTTATTTGTGACAATATGTGTACAGTGTCTTACATTTTTTGGTTCCAAAAGTTATAACTTTAAATCAGTTTGTACTATAAATGTTGTCATTTTCATCACGACTGAACAAAAATCAAGATTTGTCATATGAATTTGATCTGAGATGCAATTGTGTTTTTCTTTCTGAAATCAAGAGCTAAAACGAGATTAACTGGGAAACAAACTATTTAAAAGGAAAAGCAATATGACATTTTAGAGGCAGCCTACAAATGATAAAATGAAATACCAGGCTGAACTACCATTAATCAAACCTTCCACCACTAATTTGTACTTTTTATAATTCCACACACACACACATATATATAAAATGTATGAATTATGTATTTACTAATTATAATCACAGTAGTATAAGGTTTCCTATAGTCCAATACTAAAAGAAGTACTACACATGACCATGACAAAAACACAGATGCCTTTACTTGTACTTTATATGCTCACTTGACTATTCAGCAGCATTTAAGCATGAAAATCACATAGCTAAAACATTTTATTCCAATTAAACATCATGAAAGCCATCACCTTAATTAAAAGCACACATTTTATAAAACGCCTGGGGAAAGTAATGTATTTAGACACATTGTACAATGCTCTCTTTTTTTTATATAAATTGATACATACACATTTTACCAACAATTCTTTATTTCATATTAATTTGCCCTAAGTGAAGCCAATATGAGGTGTTTCTGAGTAGATATTTAAAAGAAAATGAAAAACTGAAATATTCTACTTGCATAAGTAACCCTTCATATTAAGATTCAATCGACTAATTTTGCTGTAATACAAACTTTAAGATGTGCTTTTTGAAACATACAAATCAAATTCTTATTCAATGCCTTTGGCCTTTAACTCCTCTTTCACTCTCTTCAGGTAGTCAGGGTCTGGATAAGAAAAACTGTGGACAGAGAAAAAAAAAAGAAGTTCAAATATACTGCTGTTTTTACATGCCAAATAAATATATAATGTTTGATTACTGTTTTTTCTGGACATGATAAAAGAATTTGAAAGCAGAGTTTACATGAGCTCATACCTTCCACCGTGTGTACCAGTCTTATGATGAATATCATTCCAGGTGACCATATTATCTGCACCCGTAGTTGTAGATTTCCCGACAGTAAAGATCAGTTTCTGTTTAAAAGCCCTGTCCAGCAGTTTGAGCACTTCATTTCCTTCAGGATTGTCTGGCAAGTATGCGTGACGAGTTGTCCCATGAAAACGCTGTCCAGGGTTTGGATGCTGCTTCTAAAAATGATTTTAGATGCATTACTGTACAATAACATTAAAGAAAAAAATGTAAATATACAAAAGGATCTACAAGGAGGTCACAGCTATCAGAGAAACGTCTGGTTTATAATTAAAAGCCAGTTGTGAGAAGGGTAGAAGCTATTTATACTTTATACTGTGCTTTTATTTTTCTTCTACAGTTTGTGTGCTTCCTCTACATCAGGGGTGTCCAAACCTGTTCCTGCAGAGTTCAGCTCCAACTCCAATCAAACACACCTGAACCAACTAATCAAGGTATAACTAGATTTAATAGACACTTCCAGGCAGGTGTGTTGAGGCGAGTTAGAGCTAAACTCTGCAGGACAGTGGCCCTCGAGGACCAGGTTTGGACGCCCCGGCCAAGAGGAATGATTTATTGGAAACACAAGGTCAGCAGTGTTTTAGTTTTCTGCCAAGTGCTGTAATTTAGTATATTGTGATTTTTTTATTAATTTTTTATTTTAAATCACAAGTCAAGAACAATTCAGTTTCATGTTCTTACCGTTTGAATACCACTGGGTATGTCATAGTGAATTTCAATAGTGCCACAACTTGGATATCCAGCGAGACTCATTCTGCTGTTTGTTACACGCATTGTTCCATCCGGTTGGTTTCCCTCCAAAATCCCAAAGACTTCCTTACACACAGGACAGATGGATCCCATACTCTCCACTGACAAGCGAATACAATTCTGACAGAATTCATGCCCACATTTCAGTTTTCTCTTGTCAGTGAAACTGTCCATACAAATAGGACACGTCTCCTCTTCAGCCTGAGCATCTTTACTGTCATTTCTAGAATTTTCTTTTAGATCATCAATGAAACCCTTATCAGCTTCACTCCACCCTTTAAAATTCACTCCCTCTTCCCGTACTGATCCTCCCACTGCTCCTTGTCCATAATCAGGCATCTGATTCCATTGGATTCCTCTTGCATGAGGAAAGTCCTCCGAGTAACCAATCGATTTCTTCTTCTTGTCATCAAACACTCTTTTCTGAAGCATCTTCTCAATTTCAGCAATGGCAGGACCGAGATGTTCTGGCAGTCCAACGAGCCTCCAGCCACTCAATGCATCTTCTGCAACAACACAATGATGCTCCTGCTGAAGTTTCTCTACTTCTGATGCCACAAGAGTTGCGTCTGTAGGGTTTTTGAGTTCACAGGTGACAGCGGCCGATGCAAGTTTCTGGTAGAGTTGTGTTAAAGCTCTGATGGCATGACTTTCAAGATTAATATGTTGAACTCCTTTGGATCGAGCTTGAACTTTAATGGTTACATTTTTCTGCTGTTTTTCTTCATTAAATGACACTCCGTACTTTGTTTCAAGCTGTGATAATTGCTCCTTATAGGAAAGTTTCATCAGATCCCAATGAACCGTGTCCATCTCAAGATGAGTTGGAAGATCCTTTGTGTCCATGTTAAATGAAGACCTGTTTTGTGGAGAAAAGTCTTTATTCATTTGACTTGATTTGTCTTTGAATTGGCTTTCCATTCTTGTTCCTTCTTCGTCTCTTTTAATCACGTCTGTATATTTCTTCGGTCCAAAGAACCAGCAGTCACTGGCAGACATGGTGAACATCATCTTTGCCTCCTCTGACTGGATGAAACGAAGGGCCTGCTTCACAATATCTGAATCCATGTGATTATGATTAATGGCAGCATGACTAAAACTACCAACACATTCCTGAACAAGTTTCTCAAAGTCATAAGACGCTTTAGACACAGAATCAGGGCTTGGGCTCTTGGTAGGTTTGATTGAGACCAACACTTCTGCACCAATAGAGACTCCATGCTGTTTCTCAATTTGCTGCATCTCCTTTCTGTAAGCGTGATGCATGTACCAGAACTGATAGAGGGGGACAACGAGTCCACTGTTAGTTGCAGCAACTTCTGATGGTACAGCGCTGTTCATCTAAAGTAAAAACATTTAACAGGATTTTATTTAATCTACCCACAGTGACATTTAAAATAACTGAATTAAAATGGCAAACTATTGTTCCATGTCATAAATAATGAATTCTCTCCAGGAGAGGATCTACTGGGGTGATAGAAAGAGCATTGCCACCCCAGCATTTGGTATCCCAATGTATAATAAAGGTAAGGCTTTGGACACACTAGACAATTTCAAATATTTTAAAACTTGGGAGACCACAGATATAAAGGCAGTTTCAACCGATTTTTAGCATTATAATCCTCTGAATGCACACACTAGAAGATTCGTCCGGACTGCAAGACCAACCTGTCGACTGTAGTAACAATTTCACAGTGAGACAAGAATCACAGAGTCTCGCAAAATCAAACGTGACTTGAGAAGAAAAAAAAATAGAAGACAATCGACGCCATCAACTGGTTCTCCTGGCGTGAGTTTTGTTTTACGGGGGGTGGGGGGGGGGGTGGGGGGGTGGGGGGGGGGGGGGTATACGTCCACATTTTCATGTTTAGAGGCTGACAAGTTTCAGCTATAGAAGGACACAAGATCCGGTTGCAAACATGTTTGATACGATTTGGGATCGTGTGGGCTCCGACATGATTGGGAGTAGTAAAATAATCATAATGACATCACACAATTGAGGATTTTTTGGACAAAAAGTCGTTTGCGACATGTATCGATTCAGGCCATGCCCCCTGATCGCTTCGGGTGCAAATTGGACTCAAAATCTTCAATTGTCTGGCCAGCCTCAGCAGAATAAGTTAAATAATTTTAACAACATATACATAACACTTTACTCATATGGAAACTGTAATTCTAGTAAGATGTCTTTTAGAGTCTGCGCAGATGTTGCTCAATTGGAAAGTAAAGTACACGCATCATAACTTATTCAAACAAATAATGCTGACTGCTTTATTTCCAACTTTGAATTTTAAAACAATATAGTGCAATTTAGTAACAGAGGCTTGTATTAATATTTATTGTATATGCTCGAATTGAATCCATTCCTGCAACTAAACACGGATATATGTTCATTAATACATAGAAATATATTTTGTTAGGTCAGTTACCCGTGACAGAAGTGTGCTGTAGACACAACCACATTAATGATTTCAATATATGACTTATCCTCTCCGAAAAGACCATAAACAATTACAGATAACATCTGAAGTAACAATTCATTTACATACATATATCGTTACATAACTAACCCTGTGAAACTGAGACGCTGGTCAATGTTTTGGCTGTGCCCTCAGTTGGAAGGGAATAGTAAGATGGCCGCTTGAAAACTTCCGTATTTAAATGTTTAAAAAACAAAATAGATTAATAATTTTATTTGATAGTACACCCAGAACTGTAAAATTTCAATACTAATATTTATGCTGTGAGTATTGTGAAAATTATTTCATTGTTAGCATAGACAGAACATGACAATGAGATGATTGTACCCTTTGCCATAATTCTAGATTAAGTAAGCATGATACCTGTGGTGGTGAAAATCTGCTCTCGTCCAGCATGGAGGGGTTTTGTTGTCCAGTCACAGAAAGTGTATTACCTTGATCGATCCATGCAGTTACTTCCTTTTTTTCATGTTTAAAGGCCAAAAGTATAGACTTTAACTTTTTTATAGTTTCCAGAGCTAAAGAGAAAGATAAGAGAATTGAATGTCTTAAAAACAATAAATTAATACAAATTTGGCAAAAAAGATTTATGACAAAAACACATGGACTACTTATACTATGACTTATGAACTAAAAAAGAACGCATATTAACAAAACTAATGAAGCAGGACACGATAACAAAGATCACTCAACTTAAATTTGCACAATAATATAAATGATTTGTGATTATTTTAGAAATGTAGTACACTATTTTACAAACTGTAAATATGTGAATTTTGATGTTTGCAATTATGAATTGCAGTGTATATTTTTGAGAACATTTGATACTCTTATCTCCATTAAATGCAAAAAAACTGACTGGACAGCCTGGTCTCATTGTTAATACCGATGTATTAATACGGAACATTTACAGGTACAAAACGTACATTCGAATCCTTTTCCCGGCACGCAATGGGTTGTGGGCGATAATAGCCGTTGAGTTTGCACGGATCCACACTTCGGATTCTAACTGGTCTAACTGGATTCTAATACAATCGTATTTGATTCTCAAATAAAATTAACAATTCACGTTTTAGTGCTGTCAGTATTGTATGTTTCAGTAACTATGAAAAGCGAGTAAATGTAATGTACATGTGGTAGAACTAGGCCTTGCACTAGGAACTAGGGATCACACTCACACAGAGAAAAATAACAGTAATGATAACTAGGGTTGGGTATCGGTTGGGTTTTATCCGATACCAGTACCTACTCTGTATTTTTTAAACGGTTCCGGTGCTTGAACGGTTCTTGAAACGGTACTTAAGAAAACGAAACCGCACACACTTTATCAAAAAATAATACCCTTTTATTTACAGGGCCAAACTGGACACAATATTAACTTAAATCTTTAAACAATATAAATACAAGTAACATATGGTAATAATACAACCAATATAAAATACAAATATTTACATTACATTTTACACATTTACATAATATCAAATAAAACAATATTGTATCAAAAAATGTAATAATACTGGAGATTAATAGAGATTACTATCAGAGCTGCCAACTCTCACGCATTGACCGTGAGACTCACGCAATAGACCCTTTTCACATGCTCTCACGCCACACATCCATTTTCTCACGCAGAGAAAAATCGCGGACAAAGAGGACACCCAGACAGCAAGCCAACATTGAATAAACATTGTTTTTCCATCTGAATCATCATTATGGTTGATATCGAAATTTCAATGCAAAATTAATGTTGAATCACCATTACCCTGTCGATGAAAACCTGATGTTATTAATGTTGATGGCAACGATATTGGAACAACATTGATCTATAGTTATCTTAATGATTGATTAAGCATTGATATTTGGTTTACCGGGCGATCGCTGAATGTGTTGAAAAGTCATTGATTTATAGTTGACCGGGAAACGACGCTGTTGTTGAAAAGTCATCAACATATAGTTGAGGGGGACATATGATTGAAAATGCATTGATATGTAGTTGACCGGGAAATATGATTGAAAATCAATAGATTTTTGGTTGACCGGGAGATCAACGGGTGTTATACCAACGCTACTGCACCGGACACAGCTCATTTCTGGACCTGGCACAAGCGTAAAGGTAAGCTTGCTTAATGTTTGATATGAATTAACATGATGGTAGTGTAACGTTAGTGACCGACGCAGTGCTGCAGTCACTGAAATATATTTTTGTTTTACCACTGTGTAAAAATCTGCCAAAAGTAGGCTAGGCCTACTTTGTAGTTCTCTTATAGGTTATAAAATTAGCAAAACCTCCAAATCCAGTCCATTTTTGTGATATTTAGCTCAAAATACATGTCTGTAGCCATTGCTTGTGTCGTGAAATCTATTTACACAGCACTATTTCTTCTGACAGCCGGAGAACACCGACGGAACCAACGCTAGCAGTGCTCCACCTAGCGCTACCCACAGAAGTGACCGCGGCGGGCCAGAATTACACAGAAGACATGACTTACCGGTACTTTACTTTTTACAATGCAGAACTGTCTCGAGTTGTAACTGGGAATGCCGATTAGACCATCTCGTCGTAATACAAATCCAAAATATGAATGTACTAGTGCTTATGCGATATCACGATTTTTGCACGCACTGTTATAGCGCCTGACAATCTAGGCCTGGCGTCAAGGGGGGAGGGCTTAGCCCCACGTTACATACTTCATCTCTCGGCACGAATGTACCAATACAAATAAATATAATCTCCTGTTTAACTTAGGCCTAAATGCTAATTTTTTTATATTGTGATTTTATTTTCTGTTTTAGGTGCTCTTACTCAGATGGAGACCACCCAATTCGCATGTGCCAGACCGCGCAAGAGGGACTGGACGACACAATATTCAGGCGTCAGAGGACATTGAAGTGTAAATAACGAGTACAAATAATTAAATAAAAAGGCTAATAAAAATGAATTTGTTTGTGTGGTGTGTTCAGTGTTAATACAAGATTTGAAAAATGTTCCATTACTTTTTAACAACCTGGCTGTATAAAGCAGGCTATTTAATTTATGGCATTTAAAATTAACATTTAAAAACGATTGAAATTCCATTGAAATCACGTTGATCCTTAGTTCAGTTGAAATTTCAACATTGTTTCAATATTCCTGATAATTGAAATACCATTGAAATTCCGTTGATCTATGGACAGGATTTCAACGTTGTTTCAATATTAAAACAGGGTGCAAAATGATGTAGAATCAACATCAGAGTTCGATGTTGATTCAATGACTTAATGTTGACAACGGAATGTTGATTTAACATAGTTTCAATGACTGTTTGCTATCTGGGCACCGACAGACAAGACAGAGAAGGTTACTTTTGATATGGAACAAATCCACAGCTGTCAGATTCTGTCAATATTTTTACGAGATTCAAACAATAAATAACGTTTTGGCTCTTTGAAATGTGACAGATCGCTGTAGCGCGTCAGTTCAAACGGCACGTGATACAGCAGCCTACAAATACAAATCCACTGCTTCTTCTTAGCTACGCAGCGTTGAGTGAACCTATGAAAGATCTCAATAGGGAACGAGACGCCGCCAAGCTCCTCGCGCTGCCGACCAGCTTCCTTTTTCGGCAGAGAAATCTGAGGAGCAGATGGCGCGCGCGCGCCAACATAATATGACGACGTAATGGGCCTTTCACACAGGACGCGGAAAGCGCTGCGCTATGAAACCCATTCATTTCAATGGCTTGCGCCGCGCGAAGACGTTTTGTTGCAGCGTCGAGCAAAGCGCAAGCGCAGCGGTGCGCACCATTGACTTGCTCGCGCGCACGCCGCGGTCAAAGTTCAAAATAGTTTAACTTTTGCCGCTGCGCTCTGTGACGATTATCAGCGCGGCCAATAGAAACGGGACATCCAAACAAACACGGAAATCAAAATGGATGAACGGCTAGTACTGTGTGTATCGGAATTTCCTGAGCTCTATGATACAAGTTTGAGGTCGTATAGGGACATCGGCAGAAAAGCGGTGTCATGGAGACATATCTCCATTCAAGTTGGCATGTCAGGTGTGTTTTAATATACATATAATTTGTTCCTTTGTGTCAGCTTTAATGTTTGAATAAATGTTTTATTCTAAAAAAGAACTGAGCTCATGATTTGTGTGTTGATTTCGATGTTATATGTGTGCGTGTATATATATATATATCAGGTAGCTTGTTATAGATGGCCAATATGAGCGGCGGACCTTTAATTTTTGACGCGCTGAGAACGCCAGGCACATAGCACACAGCAGCGCAAATCGCGTTGTATCTGAAGGGCAACGCTGAACCCAGCGGCCAGTGCAGCGCATTCAGCGTCCTGTGTGAAAGCCCCTTAACTGCGTTCACACCGCCGCCGGCGAGAGCGTCAAAGTGGACGGAAGTTATTCATTTTCAATGAGAGCCGGCGGCGAGCTCTGGCGAGGGCGGTGCGGAGCGGCGAGGAGAAGTTGAAATCAGCTCAACTTTATGGTAATGAGCTATGACGCGGTTCGGCGGCAACCAATCGGAATGCAGAAGTGCTCCGTTTGAGAGGATTCCAGAGAACGCAGTCAAGTAACTTTGGTTCCGACCACATTAGTTCCCAAGCAAAATAGAGGAGAGGTTGATCATTTGAATTTGATAAGAAGGCGGGCGACACTATTTATATCCAAGATTTTCGCGCTAGAACGCTTGTTTTTCAGCGGGAATGCAAATTAGAATAGCACTTAACCATGAACACAAAAGCCACACCACACAAATAATTGGTTTATTTCGTTAGCAAACATGTCACTATAATTGTTAAGTTCTTTCCATCGATTAATTTTCTGCAAAAATAACGATCGACATGCTTGTTTGCTTTACGGCCCCTTTAAATAAAGTTTTAAAAAAGACCAAACATTAGATCTACGTCAGAGGATCAGAGCGTCCACGAATCTTTCCACGGCGTCGCTGGCGGCGGTGTGAACGTACAGTTAGTGCATCGAGGCGGCGCCCGCGCCATTAGCCAATGAATTGGCTTGATTCTATATGGGATTCAGACTATCGGCACACCCAGAGGGCGTTCTGACGCGTAATTTTACACGTGAAATGCAGCCAAACCTTGCGAGCAAGAGCGCGCTTGCGAGACAGAAGAGACTGTGCGTGTGTGTGTGTGTGTGTGCCTAATTAAGTCAGGCACCGAAATTGTCGTTCTTATACGGTCTGGTTACTACCGTTTACGTCGGAACCGGTTCCCTATTGGCACCGAGTTTCGGTACCCAACCCTAATGATAACTATAGCCATAAAGTTTTAAAAAATAATTTTAACTCTAAGAAAACAAAGTCCACACCACAACTTTTACGATAACTGCACAGAAGAAAGATATTGTTGGAATCACTTTCAGAGCTAATTATTTCCAGCTAATAAATGATAAAAACATTGACAACAAATCAAAGTCTATCTGACTTTAAAGCAGTTATGTTCACAGGATTAACTAAAGCGCAAGCTTAGAATAAACACAACATTCTCATCCTTTGGTGTGGATGCTAATATACTTATTATTATAGTTATAGTTATTGTTACAGTCATCACTTTTTGGTATGTGACGGCCTTAAACAGTTGTTGTCATTAATAACTTTGAAAAGTGTCATTTTACTAAATACATTACTCATTATTTCTAAGGATGTAATAGCTAGTATTTCAGATCCTAGGATCCATGAGATTTGAACTGAAAAGGTATTAAAGTGAGTTATCATAAATCATAAATCACCTGCTGATGGTATTATCTGCACCTCTGCACAGGACGGATCATCCATGAGTTTAATGAGGTGGACAGACACTTTTCCTTCCAGGTCCTTTAACAACCAGCTCTGAACGGCTATCTCTAATGTTGCTCTCCATCTCTCTGGAAATGGTCCTCTCCAGTCCACTTTGATTATAAATTTAGCAATATCCAGTGGTGCTGAAGACTGTGATTCATCCCCAACTTTACGATTGTCCTGTTATAGGGAAAATAGTTATGAATGCAGGGTCATATTTCTATATAAAAAGAAACTCAAGTAGAGTTTATAAACTATGTTCTGAGTTTACTATTCTTTAACATAAAATAAACTACACCATAGCATTAGTACTTAATGTTTTCATATTTTATATTGTTTCTATCATAAGCGCATTTAATTTTGTAAATTAGTTTTTAGTTGGACAGTTGGCTGCAATAATAAAGAAATAAAGTTCATTTAAATCAGACAGAGTAGTCCATGATCATTTAATAATTAATGACTATAAACCACTCTTCAGTCAGTACCTCTTCTGTCTGCGAGTCTGAACTGTGTGTTCGATCCATTGAGCCGATCCTGCTTTGTTTCTTCATGTCACTCCGAGCTGTTCTGGAGTCTAGACCTTCAGCTCCTGATGTGTGTGAGCCCTAAAATTCAGAGAAAATCTACATGAAACGCAATGTTAAAAAATAATATAAACGCTAACAATAGTTTCAATAGTTAACATTAGTAAACTACTTTAGTTAACATGAACTGTGAATGAACAAGTTTTACAGCATTTATTAATCTTAGTTTGTTCATTTCAACATTTACTAATACATTATTAAAATCAAATGTTGTATTTGTTAACCCTAGTTAATGCACAGTGAACTAACATGAACAGCTGTATTTTTTTTTATTAATATTAACAAAGATGAATAAATACTGTAGCAAATGTATTGCTCATTGTTAGTTCATATTAGTTAATTCTTTATGTAAACCTTATTGTAAAGTGTTACCATTTAAATAATACATTTGTTTTATATTTTAAAATAAAATATATCAAATCAATATGTGTGGAAAGGAAGTTGATGTTTTGGCATCAACAAAAAGTTTTAGTTGTAATTGATTCTTCTTTTTCTAGAGTTATTTATTTATTATCTTATTACATTTGGCAGATTTTTCCAAAGTGTCTTACATTGTATTCCAGATAGATTTGACATTTTACAAACATTTGATCTGTTCTTGCATTTCTGTGAATCAAACCAATGACCAAACCATGTTCCATATAACATGTGATTGTCATATCGTCACCTTCCTAAAATAATTGCCGAAGTCATTTGAAAATGAAAATGACTTGGGCAATAATTTTAGGAAGGTATATCTGTGACCGAGCTGTTATTTCCCGTCCCGCCACATGAGGGAGTTTGATTAGGGTTTGAGCTCAAATTATTAGATGTTAGTTTGGATTTGTGATTCTTGCCTTCTGTTTGCACTATTATTTGTGTTTCTCGATTAGAGCTTCTCTATCACACTCATGAGTGTGTGTACTGTCACTGCAGCATGGCTCAGAGGTAATGTTGGTTCTTTATAAAATACAGATATGACATTTCCCACCATTAAAGACCTGTATTTCATCATTCCATAGAAAACATTATAAATAAAATGAATTGACCAATAAACTAGCTGGAGTATTTGACCATCTATGACGTGGATTCTGCTACTTGAGAACAGCAATCACCATAGTTTACTACATCGTTTCATAAGCGAGCACCGGCCAGGTGTATCAACATGGTTCTCACTCTCAATCAACTTCATCCAGACATGGTGATGACAGAAGCATCATCTGTCAAGAGGAAGATCCTGACTCAAAATTTCCTAATAGTTTACTCTCCCCCACGTCATCCAAAATGTTCATGTCTTTCTTTCTTCAGTCGAAAAGAAATTAAGGTTTTTGAGGAAAACATTCCAGGAGTTTTCTCCATATAGTGACTTCAATGGGGTCCAACGGGTCGAAGGTCCAAATGTCAGTTTCAGTGCAGCTTCAAAGTCTCGACACGATCCCAGCCGAGGAATAAGAGTCTTATCTAGACAAACCATCCGTCATTTTATATAAAAAAATAAACATTTATATCCTTTAACTCCAAATGCTCATCTTGCACTAGCTCTGCGATACGTAATCAGGTTGAAAGGTCAAGCGTGACATAGGCGAAAGTACAGACCTAGTGTTTACAAAGTGAACGTGAAAAGACTAAGTCAGACGCCCTTTATAAAAATAAAATAAAAGGTAAAACAATGGACGATTACCCTACCCTACATTTTTTAACCGGAACACGCGCAACCTTTCGACGTGATTATGTAATGTGTGAAGATAAGGAAGTGTATTGCATTCACTTGAGGAAAAAAAATCTCAACGAAAAAAAACGAGTAAATTATCTCAGAATTACAAGATAATTTTTCATGAAAAAAAAGTTTTTGCTCAGTTTTTCTGAATTAAAGGTGCCATGTGGAATGTCTGCCAAAAAATAAATTCATATTCCACATATTCCATACCAGATGGGGGCAGTATACCTCCAGAAAGTTGGCCTACTCTAGTCTGTTTTTTAGTTTCGATTTGTTAAGCTTCTAAAACCGTCAAATCGTCCGCTTTGTCCCGCCAAAGCCTATTTTGATCGGTGAATGATGTAGAATATAATGACTGCTGCGCTTGACAGGGCGCATAACGAGCAGAGAGAGAGAGAGAGAGAGAGAGAGCGCCCCGGCCGCGCGCGCGCACTCTCACGTCTTCAAACAACACGAGCGCAGTCCTCCTGCTCTCTCTCTCCCTCGCGCATATTAATCAAATCAATTGACACGATAGTAAGACCGCAGTTCATTTGGAGATTAGAGACTCAATGAACAACATCTCAACACTAAATTATAAAGGCCGGTCGACATCAGGTTTAAGTACGCCCACAAGCCGTGCGAGTTATTCGTGTACTGCAGTTTGGCTGGTGGTTATGTATGTTGCCCGCATACCGCCTCCCATGGCCGAAACTGGTATTACGACACCAGTCGGGCCGGCGCTAGTAATTTAGCATGCTAATTTAGGTTTATATCTCGGCAGCACTATAACTTGTCAATTTTTTAATGACATCATTGCACTTATTTCTTCTCATTCTTTTGATGCGTGTAGCTCATTTTTTGGATAATTTTACCTCAATTTTGACATATGGCACCTTTAAGGACTTGATTATCTCAAAAATTATGAGTAACTCATTAATTCATAAAAACAGAGTGAAAAAAATGTTTTTCAAGAAAAATATATCTCATAATTCTGAGATAATTAACTCGTTAATTCAGAAAAACAGAGTAGATTTTTTTCTTCAAGTGAATGCGATACGCTTCCGTATGAAGATGTGGACGTGCGAGACGGGCATTAGTGGTTAAAATGTTGTTGTTGTTGTTGTTTTTTTCAATGGCCGATTGTTTGTCTAGATAAGACTCTTATTCCTCGGCTGGGATCGTGTCGAGACTTTGAAGCTGCACGGAAACTGACATTTGGACCTTCATTCAAGGGCCCCATTGAAGTCACTATATGACAAATTCTGAAATGTTTTTCTCAAAAACCTTTTCGACTGAAGAAAGAAAGACATGAACATCTTGGATGATGTGGGGGTGAGTAAATTATAAGGAAATTAATTCTGAAGTGAACTAATCCTTTAATACTATACTTACTGTCCCATCAAATAACCGGCTGTGGACCCGCTATGGCCAGTAGGGTTGAGGTTCTGCCTATTTTGGCATGAACTGGATGCACAATACATACAGTATAGCAGTATACCCTTCGCAGGAGACTGACTTTCTTTTCTATCGACTGACAGGTTGACATGTGACGTGATGACGTCAGCAGTGTGTTTAGTGTGACGGAAAACCCTCTTCCCACAATTGACCCTTCGCTAAGCCACGCCCGAAAACCGCCACTGGCCAATCGTGGCTTAGCAACCGTAACTAGGCGCGGGAGGTCTGTCAAGCTTTCGAGCGAGGGAAACATGCCGACGCGTTGTGCGTATGGATTGTGCAAATCTGATCCCTGGTATTCTAAAAGTTTGGACGGTGGGGTGGCATTTTTTCTCTTCCCGAAACCTAAAAGCCAAAGGGGAGAAATCCCGGGCATGGATCAAGCAGTGTGGAGACCCATTCACAACTAAATGTCGACAGGATAAACAAACAAAAAACCGCCTATTGCTTGGAAATAATGGCGGTTCTTTGTTCATAATGCATATATTTGAACGTAAAATAAGACGATTAAAGGCAAGACGGAGGCTCACTGACATACTTTAAAATATGTTTCAGCATTGTGTTAATCGACGGCGGACGGCCTACTAACGTTAACTTTACCCCTGTAACTTTACCCCAATCTGATCGCGGCTCTCCCGGTGTTAGATTGATGGATAAGCTGTTTGATTTAAATTGATTTGATATTAGATTATTTTCACATTTCACTTACTCTGCTGTGCATGAACATAGCTGTTCAATTTGTGTGTTTCCCATGTGAATGGTCTGCTAAGGAGGCGGCTGCTGCTTGCGCTGGGACCTAACGTTATAGGCTTTAGCTTCAATTTTGATGAAATTATTCTCTAATCGGTTGCATATTATGTCGTGGATATATCCCTCGAATGCATACTGCTGTCCCTTTTGTCTTGCTCTCTCAGATATTTCATTTGTTCGCCAAAAATGACTAAATATCTCCTTGGGAATGTCTGACACCGGTGCATTCACACTGTAATAGACGTGGCAGCCGCGAAAGCTTGACAGGCGTAGCAACAGTAACTAAGGAGGGCGGGGCTTAGCAAAGGGTCAATTACCCATTTATTCCGATGGGGGCAAAATTATGTGGGTGTGTTTTATAATAAACAAGAGTCTAAAAATCTTATAATTAAAAAATATTTCTATTCCACCAAACAAGCAAAAAGAATATTGTGAAATTACACTAAACTACAAGACTCTAAATTGGACTAAAATATGGGCTAGAGGTGATAAACTGCATATTTCAGTTGAGAAAGTTTCTATTACTGACCTTATCATTAGAAAACTGACCATCTCTGTTTGATGATGGTGGGGTCTGCTGAATTAAAACGAATGCTCCACGTTTTAATTTCAAACCAATAAATAATAGTAATTTGTTCTCATTGACTGCAACAAATTAACAACCATTCTCAATTTGTCATGAATGTATTTTGCTATTTAATGGGACTCATTATCAATGGGTCAGTTTCTGTTCTTTAGTCAGTACCTCATTTCGCTGTGAGTCTGAACTGTGTTTTCGGTCCGTTGGGTTCCTCAAGTTTGTAGGCTTCATGTCATTCAGAGTTGGTCTCGAGTCTTGATCTCCAGCGCCTGCTTTAAATGAGTCCTAACATTCAGGGATAAAACACCATTACATTTTTTTTTTATTGTACATTTAAATGCAATTTACATTTTAAATCAGTAGGTCTGGATAAGATATTTTTTGTAAAATTCACAATGCTCAATTGATACTTTGGTATCAAATAGAATTTTTTAATTGACCTTTAGATTTATGCATTTGACAGACACTCTCATCCAGAGCAACTTCTGCATTAAAGACACAACATGTAAGATTTTTGGATGAAAAGATAAAAAAATAAAAATAAAAAAAATAAAAAACACTAGAAGAGTGATGGGCGCTTTCGAAATAACGTTAAAGGTGCCCTATGTAAAAATTGAGGTAAAATTATCCAAAAAATAAGCTACACGCATCAAAAGAATGAGAAGAAATAAGTGCAATGATGTCATTAAAAAATTGACAAGTTATAGTGCTGCCGAGATATAAACCTAAATTAGCATGCTAAATTACTAGCGCCGGCCCGACTGGTGTCGTAATACCAGTTTCGGCCATGGGAGGCGGTATGCGGGCAACATACATAACCACCAGCCAAACTGCAGTACACGAATAACTCGCACGGCTTGTGGGCGTACTTAAACCTGATGTCAATCACGTCTACATACCTGCCAACTTTTGAGTTTTGCTCGGCGTGAGATTTGGGGGGGGGGGGGGGAAGAGACGAGTGAGATTTGTTGACGGGGGGGGGGATACTCCCCCCCCCCCCCCCCCCCCCCCCACGTGAGATACTCAGTCAGGCCCTACGCGGTTTGGAGAACAATCTCTGTCTCGCATGCACGCTCGCTCTAGATAACGGGAGATTTTTAACGAATTTGCGGTATAACTAGTCGATCACGAGTGGCTCAACAGGTAGATATATAGATAAACTCATCTTCCAGGCATTTGACCGACCGGGTTGACACTTCAGCGTGAGAAATCGGGAGTGTGGCGTGTGAGCGTGTGAAACCAATCAAATGCGGGTGTCTCACGGCCAATGCGTGAGAGTTGGCAGCTATGCGTCTATATGAGACCGGCCTTTATAATTTAGTGTTGAGATGTTGTTCATTGAGTCTCTAATCTCTAAAAATCTCCAAATGAACTGCGGCCTTACTATCGTGTCAATTGATTTGATTAATATGCGCGAGGGAGAGAGAGAGCAGGAGGACTGCGCTCGTGTTGTTTGAAGACGTGAGAGTGCGCGCGCGCGGCCGGGGCGCTCTCTCTCTCTGCTCGTTATGCGCCCTGTCAAGCGCAGCAGTCATTCTATTCTACATCACTCACCGATCAAAATAGGCTTTGGCGGGACAAAGCGGACGATTTGACGGTTTTAGAAGATTAACAACCCGAAACTAAAAAACAGACTAGAGTAGGCCAACTTTCTGGAGGTATACTGCCCCCATTTGGTATGGAATATGTGGAGTATGAATTTATTTTTTGGCAGACATTCCACATGGCACCTTTAAGGCTTCATGAAGTTTCGAAACCTTTACGAATCTTTTGTTTCGGATCAGTGGTTTGTAAGTTCTATCAAACTGAAAGTCACGTGTGTTTTATGACACGTTTCAGTAAACACAAACAGTGCTTCGTTACATCCTTACTGTTTCGAAAAATCAATGTTTCATTGCTGGGGGTCGATCATCTCTGTGTCCGCAAACTTAGACAGCTGTCAACCAGCTAGACAACTTGTTGCTCGCTGTGACTTTATAGGCAGTGTTTGAGCACGAAGACACCTCACGAAACTGATTGCAGACAGACTTCTGAGGCAGCGAAACAGTTTAATGATCTACAGCAAAATAGAGTGAGCTTTGGTGAGAACTATGCGAATATTTAATTTCAGCAATAGTAAGTTCTCGCTAGAAATCACATCAGAAGCATTTAGCAGCTACAGCATTTACACACACACTAACCAGCAACCGCAGCTTTCAGACACCATCTTTATTTTTTTAGCTCACCTGTCGTCAAAGAATAGAAAGCATCTTTACTGCCTTCAAACATAAAGTGAAACTAGCATTGTATTTGGACGACCCTTCATGTTTCCTACCTTGAAACGCGGCCTCTGAAGGCAGCATTTATCAGTTCTCAGATGCAGCACATGATGAATAATGAGGATTCACTGAGATCCCCCCCAGCGGCCAAACACTGAACAACCGTCTATCAGTTTTATACATTTGTTGTTGACGTTTTAGTTTTTTCAACTGCTTACACACAAAATCCTTATTGTCACACAATTTCTGAAACCTGACACTCAAACATCAGAACCACACACCAAATCTGCAAAACCATAAACTAATTTTCGGCCTTCGAATTGTGTGTGTGCAATTCTTGGATTTGTGTGTAAAGTTTTGGGGGGAGGCTACATTTTGAACATGTGTGTAGGCCTGCCGCCTAAGCATTTGAAGAAGAAAAAAAGTATTGAAACATTTGCATAATATGTGGCTGGTTTCGCAGACATTGCTTAATCTAGTCCCAGACTACAATTTTGAGCTGTTTTAACTGAAAGCAACTTTGCTCTGACGTATCTTAAAAGTAAATCAGTAATGTTTGTTCAAGGCACATTTAAAAAGCTACTTAAATGTCCTAATCACACTAAATCCTGGTTTAATCTAAGCCCTGTCTGTGAATAATAGAATAATAATAAAAGGAATAATAGTTAATAGTCTCTTATGGCCTGTTTAGCTGAGCCATCCTTAGAACAAACAAAACAAGCCCTGAAAATGTATAAAAGAACATAATTGAGGACCTCCGATGCAAAAGCCTCTAAAAGCAACCTATGTCAAAAATGAGATAATGATATTGAGTGAATGCTCTCCGCACATACGTTCATCAATTACTTGCACTTCTAACCCAGCCTCAGCCAATTCAGAAATGTCGATACTTAGGTAGAAACCTATCCATAGGGGCCTGATAAAAATGTAAATATTAAAAAAAAAAAACCGTTAGAGGCCTTTGCATCTGAAGTCTTCAGATACAGACACTTATTTAGCTCAACACAGTCTTATTGTTTGAATCTCTTGTTTCCTTGATTTACCACGAGTAACATGTTTGTACCATGCCTCAGACAACACTATTTTGTCAAATGGCTAACAGCCACAGTAAGAGTATACAGCATTTTCTCCATCATGCATGCAATATATTTAAATTGAATTGCATCCCATTTGACAACACAAGTCATTCAGCTTATGTTTTAATATCGATCTAACTTACTGCAGTGTGCGACACGTGTCTCATAGCAGCACAGAGTAACATTATAACATAACTTTCAACACACTCAAATGTAGCTATTTAATTTTAGTATGATTGTTTGACCAAGTAAAACAGTGCTGTGTTACCCCACAATTTTAATTAATCTAATAAAATGACCTGTATGAGTAATTCAACACTTGAATCTATTTCATTAGAAATAAGATAAAATAATCTTAAATTATTAGCATTTCTCCTTAATTTAATTTGGCCCTTGCAGGGAATAAACTGTATATTTCAGTTGAGAAAGTTTCTGTCACTCACCTTATCATTAGAAGACTGAACATCTCTGTTTGATGAAAGGGTCTGTTGAAAAATTAGGAATTTTCCATGTTTTGATATCAATACAATAAATAATACCAACAGTAATTTGTTCTTATTTTGTTCTCTGCCACAAGACTCATTATCTCGGGTCAGTTTCTGTTCTTAAGTCAGTACCTCATTTCTCTGTGAGTCTGAACTGAGTGTTGGATCCGTTGGGCAGTTTTGAGTTGGTCTCGAGTCTTGATCTCCAGAGGCTGTATATGTGTCCTAACATTCAGGGAAGGAAACATCTTAGACACCACTTAAAAATTAATTAAATAATACATTTTAAAAGGAAAATGCAATTTAAATCTAATTTTTAGTCAAATTTGAAATTGCTCAAGTGATACTTTGGAATCAACAAGTTTTATTGATTTATTTTGTGTGTTTCAAAGTTTTTATTAATGTTTATACTAGGGCTGTCAAATGATTAATCGTGATTAATCACATCCAAAATAAAAGTTTTTTTTACATAATATATGTGGGTGCATTGTGTATAATTATTTTATATATATAAATACACACATGCTTGTATATATTTAAGAAATATTTTCATATACTGTATATAGATAAATCAATTATTATTTTTTCTTAAATATACATGCATGTGTGTGTATTTATATATATACAAAATAATTATACACAGTGCACCCACATATATTATGTAAAATATATATTATTTTATTTTGGATGTGATTAATCATGATTAATCATTTGACAGCCCTAGTTTATACATTTTAAAGACACTCTCATCCAGACCAACTTCTGCTTTAAAAGAACACATTTGATCAGGTTTTGTATTCCCTGACGTCTGTATTGAGCGTTTGTGTTGAATTGAGAGAGAGTTTATGCTGGATTTAGTGAGTAGCCTACATATTGTTTATTGGATGCTTTGCAGTTGTTATATATGTTAAATATTGCTTTTTTGGATGCTTTCATTGTGGTTATAGTTTCTGGGTTTACAAAAGTTTATAAAACTGACGTATCTTTACTTGGGCATTTGGAAACAAAGCTTTCCTCTTTCCAACAGTCGCTTCTATCTTCGATGTATATATATTGCCCGTGTGTTGATAAAAAAAAGATTAAACACACTCGCTACAGACTCGTCGGATAGAAGAGAGAACGAGATCACTCTACTGGTATCGGAGTATCAAATACTGTGGAAAATAAGTATTGGAACCGTTTCAGATATTATATTATCAATACTTATCGATATTGATATATTTAGTGTGTATGGAGAGAGACAGGAATGAGAGAATGACTCAAACATGTCAAGAGCTTGTGAACTGCCTATTCAACAATGTCGGTTCTTTATAAAGTACAGATATGATTCCCCCCCACCCCACATGATTAAATTTAGACCTGTATTCAATGTACACTCACCTAAAGGATTATTAGGAACACCTGTTCAATTTCTCATTAATGCAATTATCTAATCAACCAATCACATGGCAGTTGCTTCAATGCATTTAGGGGTGTGGTCCTGGTCAAGACAATCTCCTGGGGCCGGTTTCACCAAGTGTGCGTAACTTAGCCTAGTTTTGACGTAAATGGGCACTAAGTTACAACTTACGCACTACTAAATATTTTTACGTTGCCCCATTAAACTTAGTTTAAACGTAAATCTACGGTCCAACTAAATATTTACGGCAGCCTCCGATCGGGAGAAACGGTTGGAATAAAATATCAGACAGACTGAACTGCATCAATAAGCTCTTCTTTTACCTGACAGACTTCAATTCTTTAGACATATATGATAATGCTGACATTTACACTCGCTTACATTTTAAGAGAGAGAACATTATGTGAAAAGATTCCTTTGTTAGAAGCTCTTTAACACGAACCCGTCCTAAACAGCGCTGCTGTGTGCATCGGTCCATGTTGTGCATGTCAAATATCAGTCATAATTGATAAACGTAATTTCTTTTTTTTCTTTTTTTTTTATCAATATTTATTGATCCTTATTAATTTCATTTCAAATACAGTTTCTGAATGTTATTTATATATAAAAACGCATATGTTATTCATGATCAAGTATCATATTAAATGGAAACTTATTTTTACCGTTAGTAACGTGAGGCAAAAGAATTTAGAATGAAGGATAAACTGAAATTCACGGCATTTCAACACAACTTCTGCTCACGTATGGTTCTGGTTCATCGAGGCTAAACGTCATACTATGCGACTACGCATTACTTTACGGAGAGTTTACGACCTACTAGCTACGTTCTACCTTACGGACAAATGGTGCAACGGAATAAAGTACAGAGTTAGTTACAAACTAGCTAGTTGTTACTAAGCCTCTAGTGTGGACTTTGTTACAATTTAAGAAAGAACAAACGAACGGCTGGTGCAACCCTAACCTGAACTCCAAACTGAATGTCAGAATGGGAAAGAAAGGTGATTTAAGCAATTTTGAGCGTGGCATGGTTGTTGGTGCCAGACGGGCCGGTCTGAGTATTTCACAATCTGCTCAGTTACTGGGATTTTCACGCACAACCATTTCTAGGGTTTACAAAGAATGGTGTGAAAAGGGAAAAACTTCCAGTATGCGGCAGTCCTGTGGGCGAAAATGCCTTGTTGCTAGAGGTCAGAGGAGAATTGGCCAACTGATTCAAGCTGATAGAAGAGCAACTTTGACTGAAATAACCACTCGTTACAACCGAGGTATGCAGCAAAGCATTTGTGAAGCCACAACACACACAACCTTGAGGCGGATGGGCTACAACAGCAGAAGACCCCACCGGGTACCACTCATCTCCACTACAAATAGGAAAAAGAGGCTACAATTTGCAAGAGCTCACCAAAATTGGACAGTTGAAGACTGGAAAAATGTTGCCTGGTCTGATGAGTCTCGATTTCTGTTGAGACATTCAGATGGTAGAGTCAGAATTTGGCGTAAGCAGAATGAGAACATGGATCCATAATGCCTTGTTACCACTGTGCAGGCTGATGGTGGTGGTGTAATGGTGTGGGGGATGTTTTCTTGGCACACTTTAGGCCCCTTAGTGCCAATTGGGCATCGTTTAAATGCCACAGCCTACCTGAGCATTGTTTCTGACCATGTCCATCCCTTTATGGCCACCATGTACCCATCCTCTGATGGCTACTTCCAGCAGGATAATGCACCATGTCACAAAGCTTGAATCATTTCAAATTGGTTTCTTGAACATGACAATGAGTTCACTGTACTAAAATGGCCCCCACAGTCACCAGATTTCAACCCAATAGAGCATCTTTGGGATGTGGTGGAACGGGAGCTTCGTGCCCTGGATGTGCATCCCACAAATCTCCATCAACTGCAAGATGCTATCCTATCAATATGGGCCAACATTTCTAAAGAATGCTTTCAGCACCTTGTTGAATCAATGCCACGTAGAATTAAGGCAGTTCTGAAGGCGAAAGGGGGTCAAACACAGTATTAGTATGGTGTTCTTAATAATCCTTTAGGTGAGTGTATACAATACTAACAACAACAAAAAAATGAATATAACCAACCAATTTCAGTAGATTTGGGTATTCTAGAAACATGTTGCTGTGTGTTTTGCACTTCAAAGCAAATGATGCATATTTTTCCACCAACCAATATTACAAAAAATAAGCTAAAAGAAGCATGTGGAATTACAATAAACTATAAACTCTACATTTGACTGAAATATGGGTCAGAGGTGATAAACTGTATTCCAGTTGAGAAAGTTTCTGTCACTGACCTGAACATTAGAAGACTGACCATCTCTGCTCGATAACTGATGAAATAACTTTTTGTGAAATTACAGGTAAAATAAATATATCAGTAAATAAAGTCTGATGGGATTAGTTTCAGTCACAGCAGCTTTCAGTGGCAAACAAACAAGGAAAGACCATGTCCACACAGAAATCATATCATTCAAAACCTCAAATTAAGCCCAAACATCTCAAGATGAGGGGTAAAATAATTACCCCTAATAATAAAATACTGTTAAAATACAGTGCATTTCATATATGATTTAGTAATCTGTTGAAGGACAGACAGTTATTGAAAATTATTCGAGTCATAAATAATAGAAAACAAAAGGAATGGAAACATAATCAAGTCCAACCCATTTCTAGCTGTCTCTGTGATGCATTTCATGTCCTGAATGAGCAAATGAACACTAGTTTTTACCTGATGATCACGTCTCATGTTGAGAAGGTGTTGTTCAGTGTATGTGGTGGGTTGTTGAGTGACAGGGCCACTGATATCCTGAGAGAGTGAGAATATTACTCAGTTTAAGAACGACTTCATGCATATTTAATTTAATGCAATTTCTTTCTCATACATTTGACTAAAATATGTGTTAGAGGTGACAAACTGTTTATTTCACTTGGTACTCACCTGACCATTACGAAACTGAGAGTTTTGCATCAGTTGAAACTGCTCCTCATTTCTCTGTAAGTCTGAATGGTGTGTTGGATCCGTTGGGAAGTTTTGAGTTGTTCTCGAGTCTTGATCTCCAGAGGCTGTATATATGTCCTAACATTCAGGGGGAAAGACATCTTAAATACCATTTAAAAAATATTTAAATAATATATTAAATAAATAAAAATATCCTATTTTTAGTCAAATTCACATTGCTCAAGTGATACTTTGGAATCAACAAGTTTTAGCGGTTATTTTGTTTGTTTCAAAGTTTTATTGATGATCTTTAGATTTATACATTTTACAGACACTCTCATCCAGAGCAACTTCTGCTTTAAAGGAACACATTTGATAGTTCTTGCATTCCCAGGGAAAGTGGGAATCAAACCCATGACTGCTACAGTGATCATGTCCCATTACAGAAAGGACTGTCTTGTCCACTGATGCTGGTGTTGTTCAATGCCTACAGGGCCGCTGATACCCCGAGTACCTCTTTTTGTGAAATTACAATCAACTTTAAACATATTGTTTTTGTTTGTTTGTTTTGTTTAAAATAACTTCTATTTTCTAACTAATTAAAAAAAAATCTATATATACATTGCTACTGTGCTGCAGAGACTGGTACTCACCGGTTCTTTAGTAGCCTGACTGCAAACTTCCATTGAATCATCAGTGCTTACTGAAGTAAAGGTCTGCTGAATCCCCTAATATTAATATCAATAAAATCAATATATATTCTTACTTTCCACAATCCAACAACATCCATTCTCACTTGAATGGAATCTTAAATTCACCATGAAATCAAAATTGACAATTCTTGTTTTTAATGGAATATTGCAGTATTTATTATAAATGATTTTTCTGTGCACATATTTATTGTTTTTAAGTGTATGTGCCTTGTAATCTTTCCCTCCGTCTTGCAGTGACATCTCTTCTCTTCTCTGATGACGAGGACTGAAACCTGTCACATCCCGAAAGGCTTTTAGACTGCCTTTATTTCAAGACCTAACGCATGGATCCAATATATTGACATCGATTTTCTCTCCTATAACCGACTAGTTACATTAACACTTGCTGGACAGGCATTTTGACAAAATTTTGTGTGTATTTCACAGTTCACGCACAGTAGGCTAGATCACAAAAGAAAACGCAATTTGGACCTCTTCAGTAATAAAGGGACAGTTCACTCAAAAATGAAAATGCTGTCATCATTTACTCACCCTCACGTTGTTCTAAACCTGTATGAGTTTATGGGACAAAATACTATGGAAGTCAATGGGGTCCATCAACTCTATGGTTTCCGACATTCTTCAAAATATCTACTTTTGTGTTCAGCAGAAGAAAGAAATTCTTACAGTTTTGGAACAACTTGAGGGTGAGTAAATAATGACAGCATTTTAAATTTTGGGGTGAACTATCGCTATAGTCATTTTTACTGTTTATTTACATCTCCTTTTTAACATCAAGCACATCCTGTGCTTATTTTCTCATTCACGCATATTTCTTTATTACTCTAGTGTGTCAAAAACTTTAAGCAGTCCTGTGCTGCAAGGAGTATTTACATACAACGAAATAGCAAAATCTCTATCAACTGACACTTCATATCATCACAACTATATAGTCATATCATCCAGCCATTGTTGAAGTTGCATTAAGAGGACAGTAGCTGTCCTCTGTATAAAAAAAAAAAAAAACGGTATGGAGTTTATTATTTATTTTTACCATTCATTTCACCAGGGATGCAGCCATCATTGCAGAAGTTTTGTTTTCAGAAAGCTCTTAATTGGTTTAAAATTCGATGTACTACTGTATGTTTTAAGAAAAAAAGAAAGAGGTGTGCATGGTGTGTACTGTGTACTGCATGTTGTATTGTATATTGCACTGTATTGTTTACATATTGAAAATTGTGCACACAGCAATAGATACTTGCACATACATGCACATGCACTTATACACTACTTTATTCTATTCTATTCTAGTCCACGGTTCAGGAATAGTCACTCGTTCAGCACTATTGCAAAAAAAAACTAAAGGATCTGAATAGCAAGTGTTTTTCTTAAAAATCCTCCTCACCTGTATAATGCCAGCTGTTTGTAGGATGATATATATATCATCATCAATAAAATATATATTTATTATTTTCTATGTAGTTTTGTAATATGTATTTATTAAACGCTACACTTTGTGTTTTATTACCTCGCATTAAACAAAGTAATGCTGCTTCTAGGGTGTTTCTAATATAACGGCTGAGGGAGTAATGGCAAATTTGACATCTCTCTCTCTTCTGACCAACATAATACAACATAATACAATCTCTGTATTTTTTCCCTGAAAGGGAAAGTTGTGGAAACAAATTTTCTTTTGTTATTGGAGCAAATGGGAATAGAAAAATTATATTTGCTATAGACGTTTACCCAACTATGACAACTTCCGTTTCTGAGAACCGGTATGTGAAAAGGGTCACTATTGTCATGATTCCTGTCTTGTGTTTCACTTGTCTTGTGTGTACTTTTGTCATTTCCTGTCTTGTGTTAAGTTTTGTAGTCCTATGTAGTTTTTCATGTTGATTCGTCTTCCCAGGTGTATCTTGTTTCCTCATTATCTAGTTAAGCTTGTTTGCCCCTGTGTATAGCCCCGTGTTTCACTTGTTACTTTGTCAGTTGTTGTACATGTATGGTTGCTTCTAGTTTGGTCCTACTCATGGTTTTATTTCTTTGTCCCTGGAGTTCTTTATTATTTGTTCTATGTGTTATGTCATTAAAGCAGATAGATCCTCGCCTTCGCCTGCTTTCTCCAGCACGTTACAACTATGTTCCCTTACCGGAAAATACATCATATTTTCTGAAGTGTGGAATATAAATCTCACAAGCCAACTAAAGGCAAGCTGTGTGACTTATGGCTGGATATTGCTATTGCTGTTTCAAACGTCTGCGACAAAACTCGTTGTTTGATATTATTGCCATGTGATCTTGTAATGAGTGCAATGGAATGATAGATAATCCAGCCAATCACAGTGCAGATGGTGAAACAGAAAAATCTCATAATCAGTCTCGCTTGAGCTTATGTGAAAATGTCTTTTTGTTGTTGATCGGGACTGCCTCTTGACCAAATGTCTTGTAGTTTGTGCACCTTATCAGCGTTGTGTTGTAAAGTATGCATGACGACAGATATGACAAGAAACCTTGTTGTGCAGTTGTATAGTGTAAGCACCACAGCAATTCAGCTAGTCTTACAGTCCTGTAGTGTGAGTTTACCCTTAGTACACGACATACTGTATGTTAAAAAAATCTATTTCAGCATTAAAACACATAAATGGTAATAATAGTACATAACATTTATAATTAAATTATGGCTGAAATATTGCAGGCCTATATAACAATCTATGCATTTTCCATAATGTGCATTAAGCAGCATTAAAAACATCGATAATGCTCGATATCTGTTGATAAACAACAGTATGTTTTACAATGAGCGGACGTTGTCATGTCACGGAAGTTGAGTTATCGGTGTCCCAATGTATAGTGAGCCAGGGACCTTACCAGTGCTCGAATTTGTGTTCACAATATTGATTCACAGTCTGGGAAGCTGATTGAGATGCATCCTAAAACTTTATGGGTAGGTCAGCGAGCCTTTATTGAATTATGATTAATGATTAAATATCAGTGCAACCTAGGAGACAAAGACAGAGAACTCTGCCGATAGTCTTCATGTTCTACTGTAATCTTATCTTTTAATATAAAAGATGCATAAGTATGCAGTCCATAGCATCCAGCGTAAAACCTCTGCTATATGACTGTGCGGATAGAGAAAGAGAAATGTATAGTCTATAAAGCCATGTTTTTCTTTTTCGCTTTACCCTTCTAGCCTATAACCTATTGTTTTTACTATCTTTAACTCTTAAAAATTAAGGTTCCAAAAGTATTTTCTCAGTGATGCCACAAAAGAACCATGTTTTGTTCCCCAAACCTCCATGTGAACAGTTCTTAAAAGAACCATGTTTTCTTAATGCTAAAAACATTTTAATAATCCAATAAACTCTTTTCCACATTTTGTGCAATCGAAAGGTTCCATTGATGAACCATAAAGAACCTTTATTTTTAAAAGTGCTGTTTAATAATTAAAAAAATAATAATAATAATAATAATAATTACCTAAATTATAAATCCCATTTGCTTTATGTGACATTGTCATATTGATATAGGTTATATCAGGCCTGTATGTGATTCATAAATGAATAATAAAGTTACTCACTGGTGGAGGGTCAATCTCCATTCCCACTTCTGTGTGATCATGTGACATGACTGCGAGAATCTCCGAACAGCAACTGAAACCAAACTCTCTGGCTCTGATTAATTAGGCCTAATACCTAAAATAGTGACAAATTAGTGTTTTTTAGTTCACAAACAAACTGTACATGCTCCATATTTTTACAATTGTTATTGTTCAAACGTATAAGATAGGCCAATAGTTTACAATCTTGGTGAACGCCAAAGAAAAAAGAGAGAGGAAATTATGGCAAACATCAGACCTTTAAATTCGATGTTAAAAAGTCGATGTTAAAATGTATACATCATTGTTGTCAAATGCACAATATTTGTCAATCGTTGATAGCCTATATGTTGTCTTAAAGACTGAAGCAATTAAAGAGAATCGAGTTTAGTTTCATTTTCATTTCGCGTAGCTGCACACAGTAAGACATTTTGTTTACAATTTGATAGGTCTTGAATAAATGTCCATCTTCACACATATTTGCTCGCATTACGCTTTTTATTCTTTAGACTGCAGAAGTCAGTGGCTTTCGATGTTCGAAATGACGGTAAATA